GTGATGAAAATTAGTTAGGTTTTGTAATATCAGCATCCTTTGAGTTGATCAGCCTATTTCTTACTTCATTATCTTTGTAATTGCCAGAAGGCTACAAAGAGTAGATACATTTTCCTTAGTTTACTTTTAGCTCCTTCTTTCCCAGGCCTCAGAACCAATGTGTTCTCTGCTTTATATTTCAACGGGGGGGGGGGGGGGGAGCACACGTCTGTTTTTCTTTTTTCTTGTCCCGGGGGGGGGGGGGGGGTTTATGGCATTTATTCTCCTTTATGATTACTAAAGCAGTAAGCCTTTTATCCTGGCCGGGGGAGGGGATGGAAAGGCGACTCAAAAGTTACATATTGATATTTTAAACTTTGGCACTGTATCTCGAAGCCCTGACGGTATTTTAAGTTAATTATCCTTTAGAATGTTGGGAAACTAAGCAAAGAAGAACAGCCTGCTTACTCTGTAGTCTGGAGCAGTATGGAAATAGAACACAGCATCACAAGCAAATACGTTATAAATGTTTGTGCGCAAGATTTGATCTTGGGATGGACAGAGGATTAAAAAATGAAGAAGATGACGGTTATTCAATGTCAAGTGCTGAGCTACTTTCAATGAGTTCCTCTCAGACACCAGTAGTGACCTCTTCAGCTACTCCCTCCCAGAGATCCCTGAAGTCCAGTTTATAACCAGACCAATAACTCACTTCTTGATCTCTGAAGCCACTTGTTCAATTCTCTTGACTTCAGGGCCAAAATGAGTTGTTTATTATTTATAGCAAGTATAAAAAAGGTCATCACAATCTGTGGTCAGTTCCAAGGTTGGTGATTTGTATTCTCATAACTTGCACATGGTCAATGGCCAAATTTCTGAAAAGATTTCTGTACATCAAATGTATATAGAGGGTCATTTTAAAACCATTTTTTTTCCAGCAATACTTATTAAGCATCTAATAAGTCACTGTATGCGGAAGCTGTGGGATATACAGAGACCTTCAGAAAGCAAACCAACTGGAGATTTTGCAGTTTGAAAATATTTAAGCAGAATCATCTACCAAAAAAATAAGGGTTTTATAATATGCACCAATCCTCATATAAGCTTGGGCCAATCAACTAACTTCTCTGGGACACCAGTTTTATCATTTTATGAAACACCATTTTATTCCTTCAACAAACAGTATAACCTGGTTAAAGACTGGCCCTAGAGTCCCATAAACCCTGGATATGGGCCTCCGTTTCCTCATTGGTTGCAATGGGGATATTAGAGAATTCCCTCCAGAGGCACGAAGATTAACTCATCCACTTAAACCTCTTAGCATAGTGCACAGCCACTTGTAAGTGGTCAATGCATGTTGACTGTGTCCATTTTTATTACTGCTGATAGAGCCTGTTGTGCGCCCAGCACTGTGAAAGAGGCCCAGAATACAAAGTTGTGTAGAGCGCAAGCCAATCCTCAAGGCGTTCACTTTGCAAAGAGGAAGAAAGCCAACAAAGGTTTGTAATAAAATGGGGTCAGAGCTCTAAGAGTTAGTACCAGCTGCCAAGGGGGCATAAAGTGGAAGCGCCCAACGCTCCCTGGGGAAAGAGACAAGCTGCTGGAGTCCAGCCTTGAAAGTATAGCCAGGCGTCTAAGAACTCTTTAAGGCTTAACATTATAAGCTTTTTAAACTGTTGCTCTCGAACTTCATACGTATGAAAGGCATCTTTCGGCACCCAATATCCAGAGCACATTCATTCATTAACTTTCCATGCAGAAATGCCATCATTAACTACCGCTGCACACCCTTCTTCCACAAAACCGAACACAAATTCCTTAGCAAAGGCAGTTCTGGGGCTTGGAAAACACTATTATGCCCTAATGCCGGCATTTGTAATGCACTTCTTTCACAGACAGAAGACTAGAAGCTAAAATCGTAGGTCCATTCAGGGAAAAGACTGGCCAAGGCTCAGATTTTTCAGTAGCCGTGGATACCGCGATCGTTTTAAACCTGGCGCCAGCGCTGGGTCAGCAGCTTCAGACGTGGTCAGAGATAAGCCGAACGTCGTAGGCGTAATTTCAAAGGCGTCAGTACCCCGCAGGAAAAGGTCTGTGGGCGGAGGACCAGCCCAGGGACCGTCGGGAACCGAGGCTCCCGGGGCCCCAGAAGGACCCCGGTGCCCGCCTTCGACGATGTCGCTCCCCTCCCCGGGCCGCCCGCAGGGCCTGGGGTGCACTGGGGTTTCTTCTCCACCCCCAGACTCAGCTTCATCGCTGGAGCATGTAGCCCCTGAATACAGAAAGCAAGCAAAGGGTGCTCTCAGTTACGATCTGCTTGGAGAAGCTCGGGGAGCCGGTGGAAGCGCGCAGCAGCGCGCAGCAGAAACGCCGCACCCCTCGCGCGCTCCCGGCCAGCACTCACACCTCGGCTCCCGGGGGCCGCGCGCGTTCGGGTGCGCGGGGGCAGGGCGGGGCGGGGCGGAGCGCGCGCTGGAGACCCGCCCCTGCTCCCCTCCCCCTCCGGCGGAGATTGACGGGGCCTGGGCGCGCGCCCCAACCAATGAGCGAGTCCCGGGGCGGGCCCTGGAAGCAGCTGCTCTGGCTACTTCGAGTCTTAGGCTCGGCTGGGAGAAACCAGGACCGAGTCGGGACTGCCCAGGTGGAGCCGAAGCCCCAGCCAGCGCGGACCGGCAGGCGCACGGGCACCGCGCCGGGCACCGCACCGCACCATTCCGCGCGGGGCAGAGCGGAGCCGCAGTCCCCCGCGCCGCCCAGGACCCACTCGCCACCACCGCCTCCGCAGCACCCATGGGGACCAGGAGACTTTAAAGGAGTTTGGGGTTTCGAGAGCAGGGAAATCACGGGTACGGACAGGCGGCTTTCTTTGCCTTGGAAACGTTTCTTTCTTCGTCTGATTGTTTGGACCCTTTGCCGGGTAGGAGGGAGAGGGGTCTTTTTTGCTGAAAGTGGACCTCTCTACACAACCCACACCCGCACCCGCACACATACACCGCACTGAATTCCCCCATCCTTCCCTTGCCTCTTTGTTAGATTATTTTAGACAGAGCAACCTCGCCCTGGCGCAGCCCGTTTGGCTCTCCTGGGGAGAAAGCAAGAGAAGTAAAGGGCAGAGTACACCTGCCTGCGTGGGCAGGTGTGCCCGGGTCGTGGGTGTACGTGCATTGGCGAGAGTACAAGCATGGGGTTGGAATTGTGTACAAATGTGGGAGTCTGAGTGTGTCGTCGCGAAGGTTTGTCATTGTGTGTGTATGTGACTATCACACCAGTGTACCAGCCTGTTAGTGTCTGGACTCCAAATGTGCAAAATTTTGCTGGTGTCAAGTGAGTGCCTGCGAATGTGTCCGATTGTCATTGTGCAAGGCGCTGTCAGGGGAGGAGTGCAACCTAGTGCAAAACTGAGAGGTGGGAGAGGGTGGGGACAGAAATGTGAGGACAGCTTGCTCCGAGCTCTGGGGCCTTAGGAGCCCCATCTCTCTTCCAGCCTACCCCTCTGTCCTTTCCTGGGTGTCCGTCTCCCCCGCTGCCACAACCCGCGCTGTCCTCCCCACTGGGACCCCGCACGCCCTTCGGCCTGCCTGTCTTTTCTCTTGTGGGAGTTGGACCGGCTTCCCGGACGGAGTCCGAGGCTGTGTGGTGGCGCCTGCTCTCGCTCCCCGGACTGGTGGTTTCTGCGCCCGTCCTGCCCCTGGGGAGGCACAGGAGACTCGGCTGGCGCTAGTAACTCCAGTGCGGGCGCGTGGGCGGGCGGGCAGGTCCCGGCGGCACTGCCGGTCCTGGGGAGGGGCAGCCCGACTCTGATCGTGTCTCTGCCTCTCCTCTGTGCTACCGCAGATCCCCGCTCCTGGCCCTCACCTCGCCGCGTCATTGATGGGCAACCAACTGGACCGCATCACCCACCTCAACTACAGCGAGTTGCCCACAGGGGACCCGTCGGGGATCGAGAAGGACGAGCTACGGGTCGGGGTCGCCTACTTCTTCTCGGATGAGGAGGAGGACCTGGACGAACGCGGCCAGCCCGACAAGTTTGGCGTGAAGGCCCCTCCGGGCTGCACTCCGTGCCCAGAGAGCCCCAGCCGCCACCACCACCACCACCTGCTGCACCAGCTGGTCCTCAACGAAACTCAGTTCTCCGCCTTTCGGGGCCAGGAATGCATCTTTTCCAAAGTGAGCGGCGGCCCTCAGGGCGCCGACCTGAGCGTCTACGCAGTCACCGCGCTGCCCGCGCTCTGCGAGCCCGGCGACCTGCTGGAGCTGCTGTGGCTGCAGCCCGCGCCGGAGCCGCCCGCGCCCGCCCGGCACTGGGCCGTCTACGTGGGCGGCGGGCAGATCATCCACCTGCACCAAGGCGAGATCCGCCAGGACAGCCTGTACGAGGCGGGCGCGGCCAACGTGGGCCGGGTGGTGAATAGCTGGTACCGCTACCGCCCGCTGGTGGCCGAGCTGGTGGTGCAGAACGCCTGCGGCCACCTGGGCCTCAAGAGCGAGGAGATCTGCTGGACGAACTCGGAGAGCTTCGCCGCCTGGTGCCGCTTTGGAAAGCGGGAGTTCAAGGCGGGAGGGGAGGTGCCGGCCGGCACGCAGCCCCCGCAGCAGCAGTACTATCTCAAGGTGCACCTGGGTGAGAACAAGGTGCACACGGCCAGGTTTCACAGCCTAGAAGACCTTATCCGCGAGAAGCGCCGGATCGACGCCAGTGGCCGCCTGCGAGTGCTCCAGGAGCTCGCCGACCTGGTGGACGACAAGGAGTAGCCTGGGGGGGCCGCCTGCCCCTCCTGTCTTCCCGTGCCCTACTCCCTTCCCTGCACCCGGGCTTCCCGGCCGGCGATTCACGACCCCTGTTCCCCTCTGCCGCTGGCGGCCAGTGCCCAGGCTGCACCCTCGCACCCCTCCAGCAAGTGGCAGGAAGTCTGAGGAACTGGCTCCGGGACTGAAAGGGTAGCTGTGCGCGCCTGGCTGAGACCCCCAGCGGTGATGATGGTGTTGGGAAACCCAGCGTGCGCTTGCCCCTTTAGTTTTAAGGGGGGAAAGGAGAATGGGCTGGGGGGAGCAGGGACGTGGCCTCCCCCAAGAGTCACTGGTCAGTGACTGTCACCCGATCTACTAGAAAGGGACCATCACCGCCCCAAACGCGCACACAGACCCGTCGGAGGTGAGAATTGATCTTTTCAGGGCACAGTTCTGCTCCTGTATGGATGTGTCCCTACGCTGCAGGATTTCCAAGAAACCCAGCCTGTCCCTTATGCACTTGTGAATAATTCCACAAGAGAGCACCTGGGGGCTCTGGGTTATCCCGAGGCTGCCCGGACTCTTTCAGCTCTCCAGCCCCAGGTCTCCTGACATTGTATTCCAGGCTCCGGGCTAAGCTAATTAGTGTTTGCTTCCTATCCTTTCCACCGAGGGAAGCGAACGCCACCCCCACCCGCATTTGCCTGTGAGTCTCCCTCGCGGGCAGAAGGGAAGCCTTCCCGGTCCCGGGAGGAAAATGGCGCAGCTAATTTGGTGAGGAGAGCCGGCCCCGCCCCCGGCAAGGAGAAGGTTCACCTGGTGTCTGGAAACTTGAATTTGTGGAGAAGGGAGCTTGTTGTTCTTAACCCTAGATTGCTTCCCTCTTTGGGCTGCATTTCAAAAACAGTCATATTTTTGAAGGGGTTTGAGGAGAGGGAGGGGGAAGACATGGCAACATTCCAGAAACCAGCATTGTTAACAACACCATAGCCAGTATATTTAGTTTGGCTTTTCCTAACGTAGAAATCTTAAAAAGTGGGGAAGTGGAAATAAAGTTTTAAACATGAGAGAGCAGTTTTCCAGCTATGTCAACAAAGCCTATCGTGTTGATGTTTTTATTGATCATTTTAGCAACATGCTAATAAAATTTCAAATTGAAATTTTTATTTTCATGGCTTTAATCCATGATAGTTTAAATACTGGGGGCCATTAAGAGTGGATTTAGCTAAGAGCTTAGCTAACATTGCCTTTTCGCTCTATTTTTCTCAAATCTTATGAGAATTCTGTTTTTGAATATTGTAGTTAATTTTTTGGCTTGAAATGGCAGCCCTAGTAATGGTGGAGTTGTTAATCAATGTGTATATTGTACTGAATTTCTGTCATTTAAGGGGTTTACGGCTTTGGTGGAAATTGCTAGCAGGTTCCATGATGTTTCTTTTCTCCATGTTGTATACCATTACATTCCACATTTATATTTCTGTTTCTCTTCCTCTCCCCTTGATCTCCTTAAAAAGGAATCTAGAGTTGGTGGCTTTTTCCCCTCCTCTTTAGCCAGTCCCACAGCTCATTCCTGAAAACCAGAAAGGACTCGTAGGATCAAGACAAACCTGTGTTTTTCAAAAAATTAAGGCTGTTTGGAACCCCTTCCTTGGGCAATGATTTACCAACTTCTCTTCCTGTGCGGCAGCCCCAACCTGACTGACTGTTACTTGACTCAGTGTGTTAGACGCCTACAGCATCTGTGTCCCTTTCAAGGGAATTTGTCAAATAATGGTGTTTAGCTAATTGTTGCAAGCAATTGCATATTGACAGCTGTGATTTAGTTGGACAGCAAATATTATGGCCAAAGCCAGTTTCTTGGCATTTCAAAAATAATGCAATAAAAACTAGTCAAGGTTAGCTGAGACTGGAAATGCCTTTTTCATGGTAAATGATTCATTTCTGTTTTGTTTTTTTGGTTTTCATCCTGGATTCATTCTCTGATCTTGAATCAAAAGGTCAGATCAATGAAATATGAACTAGAGTATTTTTCTTAAGCCTATTGAGTGATTTATTTTTTAAAAAATGTTTAAATGCATATGCTTTTCTTTCAGCACATACAATGGCAAAACTTTTGTAATAACTGACTTACCTTTGCATGTATGGAGAACTGAAAGTCATTTATTTCCCTAACTTATTCCTCTTTCGAATAACAGATGGCAGATCGTAAACTGAAATTCTTGATTGTATCTACACACTCCACATTCTTTACTGTGTCCTACTACTGTATCTTGGCTCTCTGCTGTATTAAACACCATCCTAAGCACTTGTTCCAACAGGACTCCTTCTTGACATTTTGTCTTCCACCTGTCACTCGGGTGGGACTTCAGCAAAAGAAATGAATCAGTCTATCACACCTCATACTAAGATTTATTTCCTCTGATGGTACATAATCTGATTTTTTTCTTACTAAGAGAGTCACTGTAACAGAAGAATGGCTTATCAGCTTTATACTTGCCAACTAGATGGGCCATTAAACATAGGATTTGGCAGCCAAAGTAGCATACATTACTATGTTGGTCTCTTAAGGATTAGGTTGATGATAATACTTCTACAAATTCACAATAGTAAAACAGTGGTTACAAAGAGAACTTGAAAGCTTTGTAAGGTTTCTCATATTCCTGTTGAAATAATCATTTATTATCTTTTGGTCAATGTTAATAATCACCAGTGGCAGAATAATTCTAATTGTAATGCATCGTGGAGAGGATATTATCAAGATATTATTTAATAACATTATCCTGAAAAACACGTATAGTTTTGGGGCATTACGAACTATGTGAGTGAAGCCAAGAAGGCGGTATGGGCACACTTGATTTTTATTATGAGTGAATATAAATAATATCTCTGGGTTTTTTCTGAGTTAGAGAAATTAAGCCAAATGAGTCCTAACATTTTAATAGAGGTCAGAAATTTAGTTTTGGTTTTGGTATCCTCAAGAGAACAGAGCTTCAGAGTAACTTACATGATGTTGAATGTGGCTAGGCTGGAGGTTGGTTCTGTCCGCTCTCCGGGATAGAGGAAGACTATTCTTGCTCTTCTGTTCTTTGTCCGCTTTCAGAGGGGGATTCTGAAAAGCAAACTACTGAAAAAAAAAATTTTTACTCCAAAGAGTGCTTTGCTATACATTTTAGTATTTTAAAAAAAAAAAGAAAAAAGAACTGGGGAGAAGGGAGGCTGGGCGTACTTTAAACAAAACCAGCCCAGAAACAGTTATTCCCAAAGTGTATCTCTCCAAGGCATATAGCAGTAAAGCTGGCAAAAGTCAATGACAAAGAAAAAATATTAAGGGCAAAAAAAAAAAAAAAAAAAAAAAAAAAATTTAAAGTATATCAGTGAGCCAAATAAATAGATATATAAAGTTCCTCAATATTTAAAAATTTTAATCCTTGTCATGACTGTATTTTATTAAATGAAAGAGGAATATATATTCACTTATAGTTAGAAAACACTTGTGCCAGATTAGGACATCAAATGTAGTGATGTTACATGATTTTACTAGATTTTTAAAATTTTGATGTTTATCTTCCTCTTTGGGTCGTATTTCTATGGTGAACACTTTTGTTTGAAGAATGATTTTTTTTTCCAAAAAGCATGCTACTGGTTTACAAAATAACGAATTACCTGAATAATCAGTATATCCTAACAGCCTTCAAACATTACCTTATTGATTAATTATGTTTTGTGTGTGCTTTCAACATCCCTAAGAGTTCAATGTCTTAGTCATCTGATAAATGGAGCAGGGTCAAATTTCAGTGAAATTAATACTAATTGCACAAAGATAATTGAGCAACGTAATTTCCTTCTATCCAAATGCATATCTTCAAAGCTTTCTGCTTTCTGTTTTTTAAACAAATGGAGACAATCTAGTTAGGTTTGCCTTCCAGAGATAATTTTCCATGTGCATAAAGTGTCTGCAGGTGAAAAGTACACGCTTTCAGGTTTCTTGAAACATTAAGAACTGTGTTTAGACAATGGTTGTCTGATACCCAACTCAATTTTTTTGTTGCCAATAATATATATATACTGCCAATGGCTAGTAATATATATGTATGTATGTGTATATATACTATATATATACATTTACATATATGCACACACGTGTACATATATATCATTTCTACCTGTAGCTAGTAATTGTGATTTCATTCAGAGATAGGTATAGATATACACATGCATACATACAGACTATTTAAAAACAAATTAGAGAGTGACTTGAGATCTGCAAAGAGAGGAGGAAAAGTTCTAGGGGTTAAAATAGCTAATGAGTAACTGGGATGGCAAAGCAGCTTTGCCTCAAACTAAGCATAAACAAAAAGAGGAAAAGGTGGGAGGTGTGGTTAGTTTTAGCCTCACTTTTAGAAGAATATGTTCCTTGTTTCTCTAACAAAAAAGACGTAAGATTCAAAGAGAAAGCTGCAAGGATTAGGAAGTAATTGAAAAATAAGATGCAAAATGAAGTGGGGAGGTTATGAGACGAAAAAATAAGCTAATAAGCTTTGCAACAGGGGATACCTGTTCTCCATTCTAACTGAAGACAGTATAGCTGAGACCTTATTTTCCAACCATTTAATGATTTATAAAATCCTCTTGATTTCATAACTCATTGGTTGTATGTTTATCTCATTTGAACTTGCAATATAAGAGATTTAACTACTTGAATATGTTAGGGAAAAGGGAAAACCATCTTCTCTGCCCTTATTGCTGAGAGTGAGTTTTGTGATTATGATATTCATTGGCAGCACCCAGGTGAATGGTTCTCCTTGCTCTGGGCTTTAATCAGTCTCTCTGGCTGACAGCACAAGGTATACAGTAGGCGTTCAATAAATACAAGACTATGGAATCTCTCCACCTTAAGTGTTCTTGGTGATACTCGATCACCAGGAAAACCAGAATTCCCACTACTTGGCTTGTCTATAAAGGGAAACCTAAATTTCTCTAACTGAAATTGGCAGGGTTTTCCCACCTGAGAAGGCTCACAGATACAATTTATGAAGCTTAAGGCTGATTTCAGTTAAAGGGTATTCTAAATATTCTATTTGCTTCTAGAAAAAAAAATCTATCAAAGAATCCAAAGAGAAAATGTTCTCTTGTCATTTGGTTGGAAAGACGAAAGCAAACTAATAATTCTGACTATAACATCTCACAGCTTCATCTCTCATTTACCTCAAGGAGAGATTTTTCTCACGTGAAATCACAAGCTTATTATTGAAGCTCTTGCTTAAAATTTTCTTTGGATATGTAGGGAAAAACCTACTAGAATGTTAGCTTAACTCTCTGGGAAAATTAGATTTGATGGAGTTTGGTCATGGGTGTGTTTTTAAATAGACATTACTTATTTATATATTAAAATATCCAAATAATTGCTATGCCCATTCGCTTTTATAATCCAATTATTTTTTTTTTATGTGAACATGAGTTCTGGACTTAATTTTGTCCAAAGGGGAGAGGCTTGTAAAATATTAGGTGTGAATAAAGCCAATGTCCTAAATTTTAAGCAAAAATTATATGTTTCACAAGTTAATTTGAGCTACATTCATTGTTCCAAAAAATAGAAAAAGATCCTATTAGGCCACTGCTTATATGCTTCTGAAGGAAATTCTTGCCATCAATCGGTGATATAGACATTAATGCCACAATGGGAAACTCGAGGCCTCCTTTATTATAAGTATCCTGATACTTGCTTTAACAAATAAGTTGTTATTCTAAATTCAATCATTTTCCCCTCCAACAGTGCTGCAACATGCTAGCTCTTGGCTCAGTGCCAAGCCCATTGTTTTCAGATTTCAGATTCTCCTGGGGAATGAGCAAATCTGGAAGGATCAACTGACAATGATTTTGTAAAACATCTCCCAACTTCCAATAGCACATGCTTTATTTCATCCTGCCTTCTGCTTCTCAGTGGAAGTGTCTGTTCTGGGTCTGAGCCAGAGAGAGGCAAGGCTCAATGGTATGGTTGCCCGATTTAGCAAATAAAAATACAGGTCGCTCAGTTACATTTGAATTCAGATAGGCAAGGAATAATCGTTTTAGTATAAGTGTATCCCATGCAATATTTGGGACATACTTATACTAAAAGTGACCTGTTTATCTGAAATTCAAACGAAACTGCACGTCCAGTATATTATCTGGTAACTCTACTCAGGGAGGACCTTACCATCTCTAAGAAGCCATAGACCGCTGATTTTTTTAGAGGTAACAAACTAAGGACACATCCCCTACACACGGCATGGAAGTCTTGTCAGATTGCTCATGTGTCTTCTAAGGCCAAAGCCAGATTCAGGCCCATGAATGAGCATATAGCCCAGGAGAAGCCTCAGAGGGAAGAGTTCATAGGCCCACTAGTCACTGAGAGAGTTGGTTGTGTGTATGTGTGGGTGGGGATGGGTGAGTGTTTCTTGTGTCTCTTTTCTTATACTCTTTTGATTATATTTTATAAGACATGCTATCCTTTATCTGGGGATGTGATGAATACTTTCCCAGATACAATAAAAAGTACTCTATGCCACTCTTTTTAATCCCACCTGCTACTTATCCCAGTCTGGGTCCTCACTTCATACCTGGTTATTCCGTAGCTTCCTCACCTGTCTCTATCCCTCTGGCTCCTCCATCCGAACACCTGCGGCCATAGTGCTCTTTCTAAATACGTAAGCAACGCTCACAAGATAAAGGCCAAGCTCCCTATGGGGCAGTCAGGGTCCTCCATGGTCTGACCCCTGTCTACAACCAGCTGCATTTCTCTTGACTCAGCTTATATTCAGGCCACATGGAGCATTTTGCAGAACATGTAGTTCTCATTCATGCTTCCATGACTTGCTGCGTTGTCCCCTCTACCTGACTGCCATTCTTGATTCTTGAGTTGAAAACCCTTGTTCATCCATCCTTCATAGTAGCTCTATGCTACCCACTAGCATGGTTTTAGTAATTTTCTTCTGTGTGTTTCCACTGAATTTGTCTATACCTCCCCAGACTCTCCTCTACTATAAATGTTGTTTACATCTGTCTCTCTCTAGACTGAACTCTATTAGGAAAGACCCTGTGACTTACTCGTTTTTGCAGATGCAAAGTCTACCACTTTCAATAGGTGCTCAATTAGAGGCTATTGAATGAATGATAGAAGTAGAGAATGGAGAAGAGTTGGCTTCTCTGTATGTGAGGTGTACTGCCCATGATCTCTCTTGGAACCAAAGCACAGTAGGAATGGGCTAAAAGTGCCTATCAACTTATATGTGATTCCTCCTAAAAACCATATAGTAGAAAATTAGTTTCTGTTTAGAAAATAAGCTGGAATTATAAGGAATTTATATTACACTATAAATGGTGGGAAATTAGCCATACGTAGTTTAAAAGGTTTCTCTGCCCTGGCTATACTGGTACAAGCATTTCTTCATGAATGAACTTTATGAGTTTCATTACAATGAAAATACAGATTTTCCTCCTCTTGGTAATTTAATTTTCACCTAGGCGAGATAGTTTTGAGAGTTGAAAATTTAGAAGGCAACTGAGGATTGACTTACAAGAAATAAGATGAGACAAGACATTTCCCATATGGGCGACTTTAGTAAATAGCCAGAGATGTTGAGTCAG